AAGAACTCAGAACTTTTATTTTCTGCCCATTATGGAACAGAAGAAAACTGGCAGAGGCCACATTTCACAATTTAGATGAACCTAAAAATGAATGCAAAGATAGACAGCAAGCACCTTAGACTCTAATGATGAAATTTGGGAAATCTCAGACTGAATCTTCAGAGGAGAGTAACTTGGTACAGTTCATAAGTGGACAAGTGTTGAATGCAGGAATATATGAAGGTGACTAGAAGGAAATAGATGATGTGGAAATTTTTCAAATTCATTGGATTGGTTATGTTAATTGGTATCTACAAATCTAGAACTGAAAATATCTTGCAATTATGAAGCAAAGAAGATGGCCAGCCTCCCTTCAACAAAATTAAGAACCCTCAAAAGTTTCAAAAAATTCTTTAAGTATTGCATTTAATGATGCACATGCAAAAAAGCCCGGAATGATAAGCTAGAACGTAGCAGAAATATTTTAAATCTCAAATCAGTATTTACAAAATGGATACATTCCAGGTTCACATGACAGCTGATAAGTAGTCACATTCAGAGTGGTGCCCATTTCACGTACATATACCCTCAAAACCTGGAAAATGTACATAAGAATCTGGGCAACATGGGACAGTGAAACATCCTAAGCTTGAAAGATGTAAATCTACACAGAGCATCAGAAAAGGAATAAGAGCAGAACCAAGATTAACACAAAAATTACAAGAATGGACAAAAGAATTTAAAATTTCTGTCAGAAATACAACTTGTGACAAAATTTTTTAAGTGTAGAACTGGCTTAGTATTACCCAGTAAGAAATTTTCTTGATTTGGCAATATCAGGAAGAATAGGATTGAACTTCTATGGATTTTCACAAATGGGAAGCAAGAAAAGTCAATTGCACATAATCTGGACTTCATACATATTTGATGATTCTTACTGTCCTAAGAAAAACTAGTTTTTCTTCTCAGCTCAATGCATTCTCAAGCATAAATGAATTTCAAAAACCCTTGCAGGGGTACCTGGGTGGCTCAGTTGGTTGAGCAACCAGCTCTTGATTTCGGCTCAGGTCATGAGATCAGGGTCCTGGGATCAAGCCCCGTTCTTAGCAGGGAATCTGCTTGAGGATTCTTTCTCTCCCTCTCCCCCCACTTGTGCACTCTCCCTCTAAAAATAAATAAATCTTAAAAAAAGAAAAACTTTGCATAAATTAACATGAAGAGGGCCATATTATAAAATGAGACTACAGGAGAGGTAGATACACTCATTAAGAGGGTCAGAACCTATACTTGCAAAGGAATGACTTGAAAATGATGAACTATGATTGATAATAGTGCAGATAACTCTTTCAGTGTATGGGGAAAGCTTCAGTTACCAAGAAGAATCTTCCTCATACAACTAGGAAAAGAACTTGCAGGAACTAGGAAGAGAATTTTGTCTAACCCTTCAACCACAACGTTTTTTTGCACAGATCCTCAAAGTGGGAAGACTAAAAGAAGATGTTCTTTGCGTGCATATAAAAACTAAAAAAGTGTGCATATTCACTGTAGGGGTGGTATGCAATTAGATGCATGATATGTATTTGTTTTTCATGTCTCAAGATATATACAAAGAGACTATGTTTAAATTCTAATTAAAAGCTCTAATGAGTTGTTTTATATTATCCCTTTATTCTTCTATAAATTATATAATGAAAATTATATAAAATAATTTAAAATGTAAAAAAAAATGAAATAGTTCCTTTAAGTCTAGACAGTGAATAGCGGTAGCTATTTTTCCTGGTATAATGATAGTTAAAAGAGTCTTTAAAAGAAAATTGCTTTGTAGAAATGAATAGAAATTCCAAACACACGTTTGATACAAATTACCAAGTAAATCATTTTTTATATCTTTAAAATAACCTGACTGAAAAATCAGATTTTTTGAGTCCTTTGAAGCAGGAAAAGATAAACTATCCAGGACTATATATTTAATTAGTGAACATGTCATAAATAAATATATCTCACCTTTCAAAAGTTACTTTTGAAATGTAACAAAATGTTGTCAATAATCTCCAATTTCCCGTCACCTAAAACTATAGTTTACTTTCTATTTACCAAAATTGTTATTCCATTCAGATACATCCCCTGTTGAATTTGTACAGAAAAAAAAAAAAAAAATCTTGGTATGGTTCTAAATGTTCTCTTGAATAAATAAAGCAAGTGTGGGAGAAGAGTGTACAAAAATTATCTATTCCTTTCCTTTGCTTTCCTCTCCCCTACTAAAAAAGCCAATTCTGAATAGGAAAACACTGGACTAAAGAAGCAAGACTGGAATAGATAGCTTAACTGGTACGAATGGGTTGAAGTGGGGATGCTGAGATTTGTAGTTCTCCAACATTTAACTCCCTCAGAACTTTCCTATTAATCACAGCTGGTTACCACTACAAGGGCCCTAAGCAAACTTTCGAAGAAGGCAAAGTCTCTGACAACTACTTTCTAAGCCTCCTCTCCCCTAACCAGCCTAGGCTCTGATGCCAAAGGGTAGCAGCAACTCCAAGTTCCCTAAACTAAGTTGGTCCTGTCCTCCAAAACTGCTCCTTTCCTTCACATCCAAACACCCATTTCTAGGGGACTGCTCCCAATGATCTCATTATCAGATTACTGCAGGTAAATTCATACCAATACTAATGCCAAAATATCACTCCCTACGTTACTTGTTAATTGCAAAAGAAAAAGCTTAGCGTGCAAAGATAGTCTGTCACCATTTTATTGGTGAGATCAAATTTAGGATTACTAATAGGATAAGAGATAACCCTCCTTTATGTTCCTTCTGATGTTGTATAACGTGAGGTACACTGCATGACTTAAGTATTCTTGCCAAAAATATTCAGCCTGATCTACACAAGCCTTCAGATCTAACTTCAAGTTTACAGAAAATACAGGGGATAGAAGGTACAATTTAAACCTAACGAAGAGGAAACTTAGTAAAATACAGAATGTGGGTTATTCTACAAGACTACTGGTAGCCTGGTCTCTACAAAAGGTCAATGTCATCCCAAAAGAGAGAGAGAGGGAACTACACTAAATTAGAAGAAACTAACAGAAGCAAATGTAATGCATGACTGGACACTGGTTCCAAAATAAGTGACTAAAAAGGACATTTTCGGGACAATGGGGAAAATGTGAATACATACTACATACCTATATTAGACTGTAGAGATTCTTCTTAAGTATGATTACAGTATTGTAAAAGTATTGTACAGAAAATTGGTCTCTTATATGACATCCATATAGACACATTGATAGAATTGTCATATCTGCAATGTGCTCTGAAAATGTTCACCAAAATCATGTAAGATAGGCAGATAAAGGAAACGTGGCAAAATGGCAACACTTTAAAAACTAGGTGGTACATATGAAAGTCCAAATGGGCTATTCTTCAACTTTTCAATATGTTCGGGGGAAAAAAATAACATGAAAACTTCAGGAATAAAAAGTTGAAAAGCTAAAAGTAAACTCTTAAAAACAAAAATGTAAAAGGAGCAGTTGAATAGTATTTCTTAAATTTTGTAGGTGAGCCTCCTTGCTTCTCCTCAGTCACCTTATTCCCACACAAAAAAAAATGAAATATAATGAATTGAGCACTGAATGAGGACTCAGAAGACCTAAGGTTCTAGAAATGGTTCTATCACTTCCTAGCCATGACCTCATTAAAGACGTCTCCCTGAGGCTCTCTTTCCTCATCTTTGAAACAGTTCCATAAACACAGACCAATGCAAAAGGGTCTTGAGGTACAAATCAAGCATATCAATGACAGATACAAATTCAAGATACAATTATAACGGTATTTGTACTGATGTTTTAAAACGTCAAGAGCACACAGCACTAACAATTCTCTAAGCAAACCAGTGCCTTCAACGGCACAGCAAGTTTCCACTTCTTAGCCTGAGTTGTCACTAATCCCCCAAGGCAGGACTTAGCACAAATGCTAAGAGGTGGCTTTTGCACTTTAAAAACTCTCTCCTAGGTTTCAATTTTATGTCTAATGGCACTAAAAGACGTCAAATTCTTCAGACCCAGTCCAAATCTGAAAACGATAAAGTTCACGTTCACAGAATTTTAAAAAAGCAAATCTCTGCAAACAAAGAGAACCCCTGGGACCAAGGTCTTCCCGTGCTTGCAGAAGCGGGTTCACTTTGACGTTTCTCCTCTCTAGATTTCTCCTTAAAAGCCTTCAAACTTGAGCTAAGTTGGGAGGAACTCCCTCCATCTCTGGAGCTGGATAAAACCTCAGGGTGAGCTCATTCTTTCCGTCTCAGTAAGTAAAACCTGAAAGCTCGGTCAGTAAATTGTGCGTCCAACTCCACGTTTCTCCTCAGGGCCCTTCTGTAGACAATAACGGGACTTGTAGGGCAGAGCAGGGAAGTCCCTTTGACAAGAATGAGGGTGTGAGCGCGGGATGACTCGTCACCTGGGCGGGGGGGCGGGGGAGACAAGGGCCCTCGGGCCCGGGATGCCCGAAAGTTCGGAACCCCCTTCGGTCTCGGGCTACCCTGAAGACACTCCGGGGAGCGTTGTTGTTTGGGAAGCATGGGTCCCCGCCAAACATCGGCACAAAATGTACGGCGGACCAAGGGAGTAGCAGAGAGAAAAGCCAAACCCAGGCTGGGGCAAACAGGCGCAAGGCCCTGCGAGGCGAGCTGGAGGAGGCGGAGGAGGCGGAGGAGGCGGAGGAGGCGGAGGAGGCGGAGGAGGCGGAGGAGACGGAAGAAGAGGCGGCGGAGGCCTGCGCGGCTCCGGCCTGCCGCACCGAGCCGTCTGCCGCGTCGCGCTGGGATCCCTCCCCCGCCGGGGCCGGCGCAAGATGGCGGTCCGGCCGCCGCCGCGCAGCCGGTCCCCTCCCCCGCGCCCTGGGCGCTCTCGGCAAACCGCGCCGGCCTCGACACCCCCGGCCCAGCGCCCCCGGAGTGAGGCGGCGCAGGCCGCGCGGGAGGGCCTCTGCCTGCTGCAGCGCGGGGCGGGCGGGGGCGGGGGGCGCTTACCGTGAGCGGAGCGGATCGGCCTGACTGGGGCCCTGAGGAGGAGGAGAAAGAGGAGGAGGAAAAGGAGGAGCACGAAAAACTACACAGCGGCGACGGCGGCGGCTCCCATTGCGGAGCAGCAGCTGAGCCGTGGGAAGGGGGGGGTTCTCGTGGAGCCGGCGCGCTGCCTCATGGGTAGGCTCCGGGTCAGCCTCCGCGCGTCCGGGCTCCCTTTCTTCTCGCCGACGCGGGAGGCGGGCGCGGGCATGTGCGTCGCGTCACAGGCCTTCGAAGGCCGCGGCGCCCCGCCACGCGCAGGCTGCTGGCGAGGGCCAGGGCCCGGGCCTGGCGAGGCTGTGGCTGGCCACCTGCTTGCGGGCCCGCCCGGGGCGGCGAGCCCGAAGTCGGGGTTGCACCTCAGCCGAAGGCGTGGGAACGTGAGTTCCGGGTCCTCCCTGTGTGTAACAGCCAGTGCTCCGCAGGCTTGGAAAGTAAGAAGGTCCAGGAAGAGAGGCGCCGTTACAAAGAAATGCTGTGCCTGTGAGGGGCGAAGACATAAGCCAGAGGAGAAGCAGAGTCGGTTTCTTTTAATAATTGGCCAATTTTCCCATATTTGTTTCAAACATACGATGTCGCTTGTGTCTCCTTTAATTCCTAACTCTGCCATATGGATCCCTGTAATAACCTTTTAAAAAAATGTTAAATGCATTTACGAGAACACTTAGCAAGATACTGCTTGTGTAAATAACTTGCTACACCTTATATTCTGATCTGTAAGGGAAGTTTCCTCTCCCAGTTGTCCTCACAACATCAGTCAGTCTTGCTTCCTTAGATCCTTAACACACACACCAATCATTGCACAAACCCATCACTGAATTGAACTAATTCTTCCTATTTGAATTAGTTCCTTCTTTCTCATCCAGACAGCCCCCAGCTTTTCTATGGTGTTTAGCATTACAGTCACTTCCTTATTGGTTTACCGCCCCCAGATCGATCTTACCAAAAGACCACTTAAATTATCCCTAGACCTGGAATGGCTGTAGGTGACCATGACCTACTCCCTCCCAACGTGCCAGAGATAGTCTATCCAGGTTTCTCTTTCTTGCTGGCCCTGCAAGTAAGCTTTACAGGAAAAGAGAATAATCAAAATAACAAACTGGAAATCTAGAAGTTCAAAAATCTTGCCGTATTCTTAAGTCATTATAGTTCAAATATAGTTCTAATGGTTTGCAAAGCATGTTATGGTAAGGAAAATGAACTGAAGATTTCACTCTGTGTTCTATAGTTTGGTCCCAGGTGTAGAGACAGAAACTTCATGTTGTTAGACCCTAGAGCTAATTTAAATCGAGGGGATGATTCATGCCAACCAAACTTACTAGAGACTGATGTACAAACCAAAATTCAAATTTATTCCTTTTTTTTTTTCTTTCTTTCATGAAAAGCATATCTGCCCCGAAGACCAGAAAACTCGGGTTGACACATTTTCACTCAAAGGAAACACTTACATGAGAAGCCAAATTATAAAAGATTTCCAATGAGTATGAAATCAACACACATGAAGTAATTTAGATGACTTTTTTGATGACTCCATCCTTAAAACTCCTCCCATGGCTTATAGAATATAACTCTCTCGGCTCTCTTGACTTCCTATCCACACTTTCCTATTTTAAGAGTTTCTCTTCCTCTGACTTGTCAATTTTCTGCCCCTTAACATTCTGTACCTACTCTTTAAGTATCCTCACAGTACTTATTCTCCTTAAGTGAGGTCATGCTCCACACCCTTCCCTGACTGTAATGGATATAGGTGATTGCCCAGCTTCCATTTCACAGCTTCATTGTGTTCACCTATGTAATTTGGGTAGAATAACCACTACCCACCCCCAATTCCAAGAGTCCAGCCAGCCTAAAACTATAAGAATTACCCTTACCTCCCTTTGAACCAGTTTTTGTTTCAGAAACCAATCAGAGTGAAGCCCAGGATTTTTGTTTGACTGTGGGAAAAAGAGAAGTTCTTTCTCTGGATGATATAGCATTGGCATTAGAATGTGAATACTGGAAGAGCTACAACTTTTTTTTTTTTTTTACTAAGGAAAGCCAACTGATAATAAAGCTAACAGGTGGAGGAGGAAGGGCTGGGTCAATCAATCATAGGGAAAGGAAGACAATCTCTGAGAGCATCTTAAGCCTCCAGTTGAAACCCATTCTAAACCATGTGCTACCTCTAGACGTCTCTGTTATATGAGTGAATAAATTCCCTTTTCTGTTTAAGCTGAAGGGGTCCAGAATAAGCCTCTGTGACATAAAAATTATTTTTAGGCTGAAGGCATCTGAGTTTCTGAAATCTCTGATCTACCTAAAAGCAGAGCCTCCCAAAAGAACTCAATTGTCATAAATCTCCTCCCAGGGAGCAACCAGGGAAGATTGGCTCTTATCACCAGAGACAATGAGAATTGTCACCACACCTAGAGTCATTGTCACCAAACTATCATCTCTCCCATCTATTCTCCTAAGGGCCCATTTATCTTTCCTAAATGTCATTGTTTTCCAATAAGTGCACTCTTTCCCCCACCCCCCTTCCAAGAAGTCATTTGTTTTCATATAAGTGCCCTCTCCCCTCCCCTTCACCTATTAAAATGGTATATAAGCCCCAAATTCTAACCACTCCTTTGAGTCACATTTCTTGGTAAACTCCTTTACCTTGTATGTGATTAAAATCTGTCTTTTCTCTTGCTAACCTGTCCTTTTGTCAGTTTAATTCACAAGCCCCCAAAAAGTAAATCTAAGAGGGTAGAGAAAAGTTCTCCTCCCTGACAAAGCCAATTTGAGTTGGGTTTTCTGTTTATTTACAAGTGAAAGCATCCTAACTGTGGTGGAGACGATGATACTCACCATGGTACTTTCCTCTTGCATACCCAGGAAACCCACATTTCCTAGTTCCTTTACTTCTGTATCAGGCCATGGGACTGTATTTGGCCAGTGCAAGGTAGGTGGTGATTTCCCAATCTAAGCCTGACCCTTAAAACCTCCAGTGATTTATAGTTCCTTTTTGTTTTTCACATTTCAGTCAGTCGGATATGGAAAATTCTGAGGAGCCAGCGGATGGCAGTAACATCAGATGGAAGGACCACAGGTCTTAATAATTGCACAAGAGCACATCTAATACACTGATCCTCATTGTACTGATTAGAGCAAAACATAAACCTTTACTGAGTTATGACTGAGATTTGAGGGTTGTTTGTCACTAAATCATTAACCCTGATTAATAATAGAAATAGTGGCCTACTGTAACAAAAAATCCAAAATATGTGGCATTAGTTTAGTATAGCAGGTGAGAATTAAGGAACCGTGTAGTAGGCTGGATAACCAAAGATCCATATTAGGCAGTGGCTAAACTATTGTCTACAATACCTTAGAAGGCAGATCAGTACAAGTACATATTTGCTAGCTTTAAGGGAAGAGTTCTGAAAATATTAATAGTAGATGTTGGTGAATTTTTTTATATGATTTGTGAAATACTACCAGAAAGAGATTAGCATGGAACAGAATTAACCAGTTTACAAAAAAAAATGAAAGAAAATAGAGAGAATCCAGCATTTGGGCCGCCTTGCAGAGTTTGAAAACACAATACTTCTAGATTCCAAAGAGAAAGAGCTATATTTTAAAAGGCTTTGAGCAAGGAAGAGCCTCAGTAGGATTTGAACAGAATGACTCAGCCTTTAGGAAAAGATCAGATTATACATGTTGTTTCAGATAGTATCTATTGTTTCAGATAGCCTCAAAGAAGCAGCTACTACTTTTTCCCCCGGTTTATTGATGTATAACTGACAAAATTGTATATAAAGTATACATGATTTGATATACATATCCATTGTGAAATGATTACCACAAAGGTTAGTTACCACATCCATCCCCTCAAATAGTTACAGTCACTTTGTATGTGTGTGGGAGACAGCTTAAAATCTACTCTCTTAGCAAATTTCAAGTATACAATACAGTATTAGGCTATACATTAGATCCCCAGAACATATCATTGAAGAGGCAGCTATTAAATTGAGAGAGAGAATTGATTAAGAAAGTAGAGAAATAAGGCAGCTTTTAGAACCCTGTCACCCCGGGGGTGAATATTGTTGGTGCTTCAACCATTGCTTTTGGATATCTATCCACCTTTTTGGGTGCTCCCCTTTGCCACAAGCTCCACTGTGCCTTTACTTCCAATAGCCAGGATCTGCAGCTCTTTTACAGGAGACTACCCTTAGGCTATTAGAGCCACTTTGCCTGCCTTCACAGAGACTGAAAGTACCTGGGAACTTATATGCCCATAAGACCAGCTCTTAACCAAGGACTGATAAATGCAGGAGTGTGGATGCCCTAACTTCCTTGTCCTGGGTGAGAACAACTTTGAGGCATGACTTACACTCCAGAATTCCCCTGTAGGATCAGGCTGAAGTGACCTTCTGTAGTCTTTTGTCTAACGTACCCCTGCTGATGTGCATGTTAAGCTATTCTGCCAGCTCCAAAGCCACCCTTCTTACCTCATCTTTCGGGATGCTGGGAGCCGGTATTCTACAGAGCCATTCTGGGCTTTGCCAGCTGTTCCCGGTTACATTTCGCCAACAGAGGGCCCTAGAGGGAGTCTGCAAGGCTGAAGGAGGAAGAAGGGCCTTGCTTTATGTTTCTGTCTTCATGAATCCAACAACCGTGACAACTCGTTCCTGCAGCAAAGGCTGAATCTACTTAACAGTTTTCCCAACACTTGCAGAACTAGTCTCATTGTACCCCCACAGAGATATCAACACCAGCTACCATCACCCCCTCCTCAGTAGTCTGGGTCCCAGCTCTATGGTACCTCTGCTCCAAGCACAGAGACTCCAGCACCAGGTGAGCAGTGCCCCTTTCTCAGAGGTCTGAGTTTCAGCTCCATGGGGTCATTCCCCCAAGCTTCTAAGTGTCTGTTATGGACTGCATATATGTGCCCCCTCAACCCCCCCTGACCCCTGCCCAATTCATGTGTTGAAGCCCTTACCCCCATTGTGCTGGTATCTGGAGACAGGGCCTTTCAGAAGTAACCTTGAGATCTCTCTCTCTCATTCATTCTCTCATTCTCGTTCTTTCTTCTTCTCTTTCTCTCTTTCTCTCTCCCTCTCCCTCCCCTTCTGTCCCTGCTCCCACCCCCCACTCCTCCCTCAGGATACAGCAAGAAGGCTCATGTCTACAAGCCAGGAAGCAGGTTCTCC